TAGCAAAAATTGCTGGAAGGGAACATATATATTCTCTTTAACAGCTTTTCTTGTAACCTACATAGGAAAACTTGACCACAGGGGAATATTCTAATAATTTAAAACTTCAGGTAAGGGATAGCTTTAAAGTATGGTTAGTGACACGGTACTAAAAATACAAGCTTGTAACCCTTCTGCACATCGCCTTGACAATAAAATTAAAAAAAATAAAACACAAGCTTCATGCTTACATATATTTGCATGGAACACTGACTGAAAGAATGAAGGCTGAAATAGTAATAAGGATTTCCTTCCTTCCTTCTTTTCTAAAACATTCACAAGACTTCTGCAGCTAGATTTGTGCTTTTATGCTTCCTCACTGCTCCAAGCACAGAAAGGAATTATCTGGGCATGCTCAGTTCTATCACCACTTTGTGGAGAGTCCAGAATTGACACAGCTGCTACTAGAAGTTCTTAGCACTACTTTTTTCTTCTTAAAGGATAATGGAAAATGTTCTGGGCTGGGTGCTGGGGTAAGTCACCTCCTTTTTTGTTCCTACTGGATCTCTAACTAGCCACATACTTGAAGGCAAGTTCCTTAAACTATTGGTAAATGTCTACAATGCAGATTTATTTGGTTTTTAAACCTACAACTTTGTAGTTAGTAGAAAACTCTAAATTCTAGAGGAAAATAAAACACTGGTCTATCTACTTCCTTTCTGGAGCTTTTCAAGATTCCAATGAGCTATCGGATGTGGAAATACCTTACTTTTATGTTACTCTGCAGTCTTTAAGGTACTACTATTTGGGCTAGAATTTCATATTATAACTAAAAACATTGCTTCAAAGAATTGTAATTTTTAAAAACTTACTCAAATAACAAAAGTAATCAAACCCTTTGGATTCTTCTGTAGTTGTACCCAAACTTACTGCATGACTTTTAGCCACTGAAATGACTTTCCCCTCAGCTGACATCGATTCAATTATCTAATGGCCCCCAACTTCCACCAAAGTACCTATGTATAGTTTTCGTCTGTTTCTGTAAGCTTTTGCTTGTGATGTCTTTATAGGGATGACTAGTTTATAGTAAGTAACTCAGTAAATACCCCCAGGAAGCTGTTTTCTTCAAGATTTAAAGTTTACGTGACCAAAGTAGAAGATAAAAGCAAATTAGCCATCCCACTTTTAAAAGAAAATAGTTCAGAAAAAGAAAAGAAACAAATTACTAATAAACATAGCCTTGCTTGACTGTGCATGGCAACAATGCTTTCTGAATCATAACACATAACAGTTCAGTCCAGAGGCCAAAGATCTGGTTATAATTCTCATGTTAGCAGTAGTATTGTAACTATAAAATTGCGCACCAAAAATTAAACTGCAGTATTTAATAGCAGAGCTTTAAGAGACTGTCTTGCTCTGTTCCTAAAAAATGCAGTATCTTTTATTTATCTTAAGCATATACTTGCATCTCTTCAGCTTCTGCTCTGTTTAAAAAAATTCCGAGACCAGCTGCAAATAGAAAAGTGGGCCAAAATGGCAAGAATCATCTTCCTCTTACATGTGGACATATAATATTATTTATAGATCCTCTGCTCATTGCTTTCTCTCACTTCAGAGAATTTTGTAGGTTTAAACAATATTCCTTTTATTCATAATTGAATCCTCAACCTTTCTCAAATTTCCATTCCAATATCAGCTTGATGTATGAGGTATATATATATATATATATGATACAAATTAAATTTTACTTTTTATAATAAACTCAATATCAGCTATCTTCAAGAGTCACTTAAAGAGCCTCTTTCTTGGGCAAAGTTCACAAAAACTTGACTGTGTTTCTATTGTTACTTGCTTTTCTTCTACATTGTGTCAAGCTTTCTGAAATTCCAAGGAAACTATATTTGGGGGACTAGCAGCCCTTTAAAATTCTTTAAAATGATTGAAAGGTTCTGATTTCCCTCAAATGGGATCCATCCAATGGGGCCTGCGGTATTCAAAACAGGTACAATTGCTTTAAATCTGAGCTACTTCAGAAACTTTCAAAATGTGGGGAAGAGGGAAGCAAAGTTTTAAAAGCAAGCCAAGGAAGATGACAACTGTGAATAAGTTTCCCTTCTGATTCTTTCAGTAATTGCCGAATTGTGGGTGTGTAGGTGGGCAGGGTTATGCACCATTGCTTACCATTAATTTACATTTAAAGTGATTGTGAAATGAGATTTTAGTAATCCAAAGTAAAGGCTCAAAACTGAAGCCACTCCTATTTCTATGATTTTTAAAAAATTTCTCACAAAGTACAAGTGGTCAAATTGCAGTTTGAGATTACTTAAAGTTTAGCACATGTTACTAACATGCTTTCAGGGTGTTTTTGTTCAGGAAAATGCCAACTGGCAAATAAGAAATATAATTGCAACCATTTATTACTACTGGATAGTCAAATAATGTTGGAGACTGTCACAAATGGCCTTCCAGCCAGGTCTACCACTTCAATCAACAGATGCTAAAGAATCCTCAGGTGCAAAAGGAAAAACTTTCTTGGTGGCTGTGTGGGAACCAAAGCCTTTAGAAACTACGTGCATGTTGCTAGCCTCCTAGCCCTAAGTCCTCAGTACCTTCAAGTGAATGTTCTGGAAATAACATACATTCAGTTTGTCACTTTAGTGTTTGGCAAAACCTAAGACTCCCTCAAAATCTCACGCTGTTCTGCGTAACAAGATAAAGCAAATGACATTTATAGACAGTAAAATATATTTATGTGACTCGAGTGTGACTTAACTCTGCAAAGTGCATTGGGTTCTGGAAGGGCTTGAAGGCTCCTCTGGTTAATTATATTTACTTCTGTTTATACAAATTTGCAAGAAGCTACTGTAAGCTGGTGCTCTGCCATTGCTGAGTTCTTCCATATACCTTCACTTTCAGCAGAGATAAAGTATTTTTACATCAAAGATCCCTGGACAGTATTAATAAAAGAAAGAAAACAGTAACAGTCCATTACATTTATTGAGTTGGTACTTTATCAAATCCTCAGTTGGTAGTTTAAAATCCCCAGGAAGGTAGTGTTTTGAGAGACGAAAAAACTACAAACTAGTGGCTTTCAAGATAAATTCTAAGAAAAATTGCATTCATTTGCCCATCTGTTTTGTGTGTGTGTGCATGCACGCGTGTGTGAGTGTGCAATCTGATAATGCATAGGCAAAGTGGAAAAACTAGCAGGAGTTTGAACTTTTCTACTCACAATATTTTAGCAAACTCAATGGCAATTTTAAAGATGAAATGTACTAAAACTCCAACAGTCGCTGAGTGAAGGCCCAACTGAGCAATGTTCTAGAAGCCATACACAGGTGGCAGGACTACAGGATGTGAGATACAGGAGCAGGGTTTGGCGCTGGATAAACTTTAGACCCTGCAAACCACAGGACTCTGACTCGGCAATAAGTAAGAACTATCCCTCCACCTCAGTTTCTCTATAAACATAGGGAACTTTCCTTGGGGTTGCTGAGAATTCAAATTTCATACCCCATGCACATCAGCCTGTCCAGAAAGGACCCTCAAGAAACCCTTGCTTCCTGGTATGTCGAAAGACCAAGGAACCCTGGGTGTCGGCCACACTCCACACAGGAATGCTCATTTGCGTGCACTAAGATGTCCTCCCAGGCCTGTCACCAGGAGGACTGGGAACGCAGCGCAGCAGCTTCGGGTGGCTTGCCCTCAGCCTTCCTCTGGGGCAGTGATGGAGTCGGACTAGACTGTAAAGCACCCGATCTCTCTTCTAGCTCTACAGAGTGACAGAATGCAAGAAGCACCCCCAGAACCCGACAGAGCCACCCCTCTGCCATCTCCACGGAGATGGGCACCCCTGACGCCGAGCAGCCTCTGCCCCTCACCCAGCGAGCCCGGGGAGCTCCGAGAAGATGAAAGGCCAGCAGGGACGGTCCCCGAGAGTATGGACCCCACACACGGGGGTGGGGGGCGGAGGGGGCGGGTGGAGTAGGTCCCCCCTCTCCCTTCCTCCCTCCCCGCCTCCCCCAGGACACTCACCACCAGCGGGATGGAGCAGATGAGCACCACCAGGGAGGTGGCGATGAGCAGGATGACCATCTGGATCTCTGCGCCGGCGATGCGACGGAAGCTCCGACGGCGGCGGAAGTCGCTGACGCGCGGCGGGGCGGGGGACGGGGCCGGGTTCCCCCGACAGGCCGCCGAGACGGCGGCGGCGGCCGCGTGGTGCTGCTGCGGCTCGGTGCCCAGCGAGGTGCGGCGCATGAACTGGCGGTGCATGCGGAGCAGCGCGCCGCACACCAGCACGTTGCACAGCACGGTGGCCAGGATGAGGAAGGAGCTGAAGCCCGCGTACATGTAGGAGAAGGCGGCGTAGGCCGTCACGTTGGAGGTCCAGTCGATGAAGCACCAGGTGCCCGGGTACTGGCGCTGCGAGTGGCCCAGGCCCATGTTGGGCAGCGCGCAGAAGAGCACGTTGGACACATAGACGGCGAAGAGCGTGAGGCCGGCCAGCCGCTTGTCCACGTAGTGGCTGTAGAAGTAGGCGTGGTTGATGGCCAGGTAGCGCTCGATGCTCATGGCGCAAATGATGCTGAGGCCCGACAGGCCGAAGAAGAGGAGGATGAAGGTGCTGTAGTCGCACAGCGGCTGCTCCCCGGGCCACTGGCCTTTCATGTAGGTGGCGATGGTCACCGGGCTCACGAGCAGCGTGCCCAGCAGGTCGGTGACCGCCAGGCCGCACACCAGCGTGTAAAACGTCGTCTCCTTCTGCTCCTTGCGTGACTTGCACAGGACCACGATGGCCACCAGGTTCCCCACCACCCCGAAGATGAACATCACCGCGGGGATGGTCACCGGGCTGTTGAGCCGCTCGGCCGCGGACGTGGAGGCGGACGTGTTGCCCCCGGCCGTGGACATGACGGCGGGCGGCGGCGTGGGGGCAACCCGGGCGTGTGCGGGGCGAGTTCGGTCTGGGGCTGGTGAGGAGGGGAGGAGGGAGAAGCCGTGAGCAGAAACGACCACCGTCAAGGGGTCGGAGTCCTGGCTGGGCAGCACTCCCACGGGGGAGCGGAGACCGGGAAGCGAGGGCACCCGACGCTCGGATCCGCAGCCAGATCTCCCCCCACCCCCCGGGCTCCTTTCTCAGCCAGCAGCACCCCTGGGCGGACATAAATATGTATCAGCGATCACTGCCGTTCCCGCCTCGGCCACCCAGCCCAACTCCCTCCAGCGCCCAAGCATCTCGGGGTGGTGGTGGGGGACGTGGGGGGTGGGGAGCGGCTCGGTGATGATCTTCCCGACAGACTCGTTCTCAAGCGATGGACGAGCGTCAGGTCCCCCGTGGGCGCGCCCGGCCCCCACGCTGTCTACCCTCCCCCTACCCCCCCCGTGGCTTCCTGGCCGTCTCACCTGGAGCGCGCTGCGCCCCGGGGGGACCCCCCACCGCGTTCAGCCCTCCTCCAGCCCACCTTCTGCCCCCCCCCCCATCCAGCCCCTCGCTCACCGAGGACCTCGCCAAGCCTTCGGCCCGCCCCGAGCCGGCTTTCAGGAACTGCCAAGGGAGGCTCCGGGACTGCGGTGAGCTTCAAAGAACGCGAAGAGCCAAGCCGGACGTCGGGGGGGGGGATCGACACCAGACCGGGCTGGGGTTTCTTCTTTGATCTGTGTCCCCCCTCCCTTCCTCTCTCTTCTGCGGTGAGTGTCAGCCTGGGCGCCGAGCGAGCCCGCAGAGGCGGTGCGCCGCACCCCGCCCGCCCGCCCTCCCCGGGCAGCGTCCAGGTGTGCGGCCGCGCGAGCAGGTGGCGCGCAGCGTCGGTCCTCGGCTTCGGCCGCCCTCCTCCGCCCGGCGGCGGGCGAGCACGGACGGCTACCGCAGCTGGCGGCTGGCGCGGAGGCCGTTCGCGGCGCCCCGGGGTCGGCTCGGTGTGCGCTCCGCCTGGGGCTCGGACCCGGGGCTGTTCATCTTCCTCGCGTGCGGCGGGGTTTCGTAGCTGGGGTTCCGGCGGCTCCGCTTGGCAGCTTCTGTACAAACTTTTCTCCCCCGCACAAGTTTCCCCTGGTGGGGGCGGAGACAGGCTTGAGCGGCCCGGATTCCCATTGGCTGACGGGGAACGGGGCGGAGCGCGCGTCCCCCCCCCCCAGTCCTCCCGCAGAGAGCCGGGCGGAGTCGGGGGGCGGGGGAGGCGGGGTGGGAACCGCGCTGGTGGCGCGGCGCGGCGCGGCTGGGGGCCTCTCGGGTCGGGGGAGGGGGAATCTCCCCAGCTCAAGAGCCCGGATGGAGGAGACCCCCGTGCTGCGTGGGGGAGTTGGCTTGCACTGGTTCCCCTCGCCTGGTTTCCTCCTCCATTCTGCGGCTCCCAGGGGTACTTTCTACCCACCGTTGGCAACATCTAGGGTGGGACCCTACCCTGGCAGGTGTGCGTGTGTGCGCGCGCGTGTGTGCGTGTGTGTGCGCGCGTGTGTGTGTGCGTGTGCGCGCGTGTGTGTGTGCGTGTGCGGGCGAGCGCGTGTGTGCGTGTGCGGGCGAGCGCGTGTGTGTGCGCGCGTGTGTGTGCGTGTGCGGGCGAGCGCGCGCAATAGCGCTCCGGGTCGACGTAGGTGGACGTGGTGGGTGGACGGGTGGACGGGTGGGTAGGGACCAGGCTGGGGCGGGGAAACCATGAGGAACCCAACCTCTCAGCCTGAAAGGAGCAGTCCCCAGCCCGCACTCTGCTGGGCACTTCAGCAGGAAAGTACTTGATGAAGGGAAGGGAAGACTGGGCCGGACGCCACCTCTCCTGCTCCCCCGAGCCCCCGGCCCCCGCGGGTGGAACGCTTTTCTCCCCACCTGTGGAGAACCTGGTTCTCCCTGTGTCGAACAGCTCCAAGCTGGAAGTTTAGCAGACGGAGCCGAGTCTGCCTGGAGCCTGGGATCGCCAGCTTCAGCATTGCCTCCTGGTTAACCAGGGAAAGCCCTGAGGGGGAAAAGTTTCCCTGCTATTCACCGTTCCCTTCTTTGACTTTATTTTCTTAAAAAAAAAAAAAACTATCACTACAATTAAGTGAGATTGTGAATTCGCAATGTGTAGTTGAAAACCACGTCACCTATGTTTTAAAATACACGCACACACAAACATACACACAAGACTGGGTGGGCTTTCACATAACTTACATTCCTAGAAAATAAATGTTTTCCATCTGTAGCACACACACATTTAGCATCTCTCAGCTAAGTAGGTAGCTTGATCCCTGTATGTGATAAACAGGCACCCGTTCAGTACATTTATTTCATGAGAGAACAAACCTGTTTGCAATTCATCTGATTTTTCAGATAACATGTGAGAAATGACTGAAATCAAAAGGACATGCTGGATTTCACCAAATTTCAGGTGAAATTGGCTATCTTGTCTTAAGATTAAGACACCCTGAGGGTGTGTTGCTGAAGCAAGGTTCCTTGGTGTACACTGCGTGTGTATGTACGTACACCGTGAATGTACATGTATGTGCTGCATGAAATAAAGGCCTCCAGCTCCTGTTAAACTTTTTTACTCAAGGCTGGTGCTCTACCACTTGAGCCATCCTTCTGCCTCTGGCTTTTAGCTTGTTGATTGGATATGACTCTCAAAGACTTTTTTGTCCTGGCTGGTTTGGAACTGTGATCCTCAGATCTCAGCCCCCTGAGTAGGTAGGAGTACAAGCCTGAGCCACTAGCGTCCTGTTTGCTTTGGTATACAGTATACTTTTTCATTATGAATGAAGGAAAGATGCACATTTGTTGGCTTCTATAAAACGATTCAGTGGTGATGGGCTGTTTTCTGTCTTCAGTTGCCAGTGCTTCTGTTGAGTAGAAACCTGAGAAAAAACTCCAGTAGAAACTTCTTATCAGCATAGCACACAGATCAGCGTCCAAGAAAAAGAAACTGCATTGTGCCCACGCGCTTTGCTAACCACTTTGCTTTACCATCACTCACCTCCGTGGTCTGTAGGTAAGTAAATACTAACTTTCTGCAAATAACTCTTTTTGCTTTTCTTTCATTTTGAAGCTCCTAAAGTGGAATACTATGGTTTGGTATACTTGTTATCATGCTGAGGAATATATTAAGTGTACTACTAGCTCAGGCATACTGCTGAGGAAATTAGTGGATATACTTGGCTTGTTACCAGTGAAGCTGTTTTCTTACTAGACCTTTCAGTTTTCCTTCCAGTAGCTTCAAGAAAATAGAAAATAAATAACGACCCAGGATGTAAGACTTAAAAATGTTACAAAGTGTAACTCTACATTCTCTTTTTTTTGGCCCACCATTCTTTAAAACATTCTTAATTGTTATTATAAAGGTGATATACAGAGGGGTTACCATTTCATAAATCAGGTAATAAGTACATTTCTTGGTCCACCATTCTTAAAACTTAAAATTAGCCTCCAGAAATAGAACTTGAAACTCTGGGAAACAATAGTTGTATTTTTTTACTTAAAAAAAAACAAAAAACTGGGACAGTAGAGTTCAGATTCCTTTTGCCAGGAATCCACATTAGAAAGGGAAAGAAGAATTGCCATAATTATGTGAGTAATTTGTGTTGTTTATATATTTCAATGAAGAGATTTTTATTTTAATCACAGTTTTCTTTTCTCCCTTGTAGTTTTTGTCCACAGTTCCTCCTTCTCTTCCACAAAAACAGTTCTTGGAACTGTTATTCCATCCTCTCTCAAAGTTTGCATGAGTCTGAGATCTGCCTGACTGAACAGTTTGATTGCTCTCTTCTAGCTAATTGTTTAATCTTTTGAGTAAACACTTTAACAACACTTTAAAAAACACTGAAGGAACATGTTTAAAAGTAAAGGTTGCTTGTGAGCTATTGGTCCATTGTTTGGATCAAAGGAAATATGGGACAGACAGATGAGATTCAGCCATCTAAATGGGGTAAGAAAAGAGGGAACTTCTGGGAGGAAGGCAGCACTGTGAACCTAGCCAGGCCTTGAGCCCTTACTAAACTACAGCTGGCAGGATCATAGTGCTTTCCTGAAGTTCATGGACTAGAGCCTATGTACCTTGTGTTGCTCTTGTTTTTCATGACAGGCCATGCAGAGATTCAAAACAGAGTGTCAGCATTTGTCTGCTGTCGATAACACACTGCCCTCAGACACACTAGTCTTCCAGTATGTTGAGTGGGTAAAAAAATACATGGCATTCATCTGACCTTGTATAGGGAACTTCGCTCACAGTTATGATTATGGCCCTGATAGCTCCTTTTAATTGTGTGTGTTCTTCTGATTATTTTCATTTTCTAAGCATAAGCTTTGTGCTGAGTCTAGTGTGCAGAGCTGCTACATGACAGTCTTGTGATTAACTCCCCAACATTTCATGTGGTGATAAATTACTGTTGTGGGGACTGGTCACCAGGAATTGCTTCCACCTGTCTCCTGCTCCCAGTGTACCCTTCATTCTTTATTTTTCTCCTCCCTTTTCTCTGAATAATTCTACCACACCCCCATTGTAGATTGGGCCAATGGGCAAAAATAAAAGAACACTGTTTACCTACTGTTGCCTTTAAAAAAAAGGTATATGTGAAGAGATAAAGCTTTATTAGTCTTCCCTCTTCTAGAGGAGGGAGGACTTGCTGATTAAATTTGGGCTTCTTACAATTAAAGCGCTGTGTTTTAACACTTGAGAAGATACACAGAAACTCCCTGGCGTAATTCTCAGCTCTAGGGTCAGCTGCAGGTCTTGTGGGCTCAGCACTTTCCACAGTGAATGTATTTTCATACTTTTGCTCTTCCCCTTCCATCTTAGTATCACTCTCATGTGTAGGTTAGGTAGGTGTGATAAGAGACTGTCATGTTTAACCAGATCCTGTTTCTATTTCTCTATGCATTTGTGCTGGTCCTGGAGCTTGAACGCAGGGTCTAGGCACCGTCAGAGTGTTTTTGTTTTTGTATTCCCCTCAAAGTTAATTCTCTATCACTTGCACCAAAGCTTCTTTTCTGGCTTTTTGGTGGTTAACTGGAGGGTCTCATAGACTTTCCTACATGGACAGGCTTTGAACAGTGATCCTCAGATCTCAGCCTTCTGAATAGTTTAGGATTAGAGGTGTAAACCACTGGCACCTGGCTTCAATTTCCTTTTGATCACCTAATTCCCCAGAGAAAGAGAGCAAGACATACTCCATTCACATTTGAGACCAGGAACTTGAGACCATTCTGAAGGAATGGCATGCTCTAAAAAGAGCATTGTTTGTTCCTCTCCAAAATGCTTCTTTAATTATAAACAAAACCGGGATATCTTCCATGTCAAGGACAGAAAGCCTTAAGCATTCTAGCTTTGTGTCCATTCTTCTTCCTCCTCAGAATAGAGAGGTAAGATCTTCTTTTTTCTAGAGCTAGAAAGAGGTTTCTGAGAATTCATCATAGATTTTGAGTGTGCTAGAAACCTGAATAAACCTTAGGTAGATCATTGAAATAAGGAGAAATCACCAAAGTTTGTATAAAAAAAAGTGTCCATTACTTGGAGAAAATCTGTCTCTTGATCAGGATGCTTAGCAGGGAGATATGGAAGAAAGAAAAGAAGTAATATCATTCTCTAAAAATCATTCCATCTTCACATTGTTAAAATTAAAGTCTAGAATTAGTTTCAGCCCTGGCTTGCTTCCTGCCTTTCAAGCCAATAGATATTGATCCTCAAAGACACAAGGAACTTGTTAAAAATCTTCTGTAGTTTAAAAATCTAAAGACAAAAGTGCCTGAGGATGTTCTAATCCTTCAGAATAAATGAATTATATTGACTGATCATTTTATAGGAAAACGTGTTCTTAAAAAAAGTAGCTATGTGGAAAGCTAATTTTTAATCATTATTATTATCCTAAATAGTTATACATGTTTTTCAATTCCGCATATCAGTTTATCTTGATCAATGTCATCGTCTTCTACCACTTGAGAGCCACAGCTTTACTTCTGGTGTTTGGTGGTTAACTGGAGATAAGAGTTTTCATGGACTTTTCTGCCTATGCTGGCTTTGAACTCTGATCCTTAGATTTCAATGGCATGAGCCATTGGCAACCAGCCAAGAAAAGTGTCCATTTTTAAGAATTAAAAAAGTGTGAAATTGTATTAGGTGGGAGAATAACATTTTTCAAAACTGACTGCTGTCTTCAGGATCTGTCCTCAACTTGGATCTACCACTCCTACCACTGCAGGTATTTGAAGATTTCCTAGAGGCACACAGTCCACAATGAGATTCACTCTGGATATAATAAACCTCTGTTCAATTTAAACATTGAAAGCATCCAGCTCTTAAGCAAATATTCTACTTATTAAAATATCTTTTATTGCTAAATCAACCTCAAAAAGAAGTGTATTATTTAATGTCTTTCTTTTCCCAGCCTTCATCTTCTTTTTCTAAAAATTTTTTTATTGTGA